ACCTGTGAAAGGTAATGCCATTGAATCCAGTTTGTTTCGTAAAACGGTTGAAACACACAGAACAGGACTTGATGAGCTCCAACCGCTCTTCTGCCACATATAAGATGGCGGACGCTGTTACGTACCACTCAGCGCTCCATGAGGCGCCTACATATTCATGTCTATGAGTAAGTCTGTTTTTGCCGCGCCATCTTCCTCCTACCACTTCCGGCCGTCGTCTTCTTCGTGGTTTGCGCCAGTACCGACATCCGGTTGTTGATCACGTGACTCTTATGACGCAAAAACGTATTTTGCGAAATACAGTTATTTCAATGCGGCCAAAAACCATCTTGTCCATGCGTCAAAAAATACAATTTATTTCGAAATTTACGTGTTTTATTTAAGTGAATTTATTTTCAAAATATCAAATTGCGCAATTATTTGGTCAAGGAAAACGCAGCTACAGTAGCTGACGCCGATGTCTCCTCGCCAGCTGCTGACGAGGCTAATGCCTCTGACAGATGATGGTAATTGTTAATATAATTTCATAACTGTTTACATCAGCCGCTGCCATGATTTTTAATGACTTATCGCGTGACCAAGCCAATTCACATGTGACTTTAGTTACATTTCTTATTTAATGTAAACACCGCTAGCGTGGCCGAGCAGCACAGACGGAAAGCACACAGCAGCGGCTTTTACCTGTTACTGGGGACATAAAGGTGGAAGTGACGGACGTGGGAGGCGTCTTTAGAGATGACAATGTTTCCGGTGAACTGACCCGGAGTGAACCAGAAGGGAAAGTTTGGAACATCATTGAGCTGAAACTCTGCGTGAATCCTGCAAGTGTGAACACAATGAGAGTCTGAGCTTGTATTACACACATTTCAATGCAAGAGTGACGTATTAATATAGATTTGTGGAACGAAGTACTTGTACGTCGTTACCTATTCTTCTGGACGGATCTGTATTAAGGTTGATAGGACTGAAGCCTCCCTGAGAGCCGTTCTGTGTTCTTGTAATGCTCTGCGTACACTGCAGTAGCTATTATTTTATTTCATTAAAATATATATACATATTTTTTAAATTAGCGAATAAATAAAACAAGAATGCAGAGCATTATCA